CCCGGCCGTCGCGGCCCGCGGCGTGAAGCCCGCGGCGAGGTTCCCGCCAGCCTGGGGGCAGCACGACGCTGCTCGGGGCGCAGCGGTCGTGGGCCCCTCCGGACACCGCCAGGAGCCGGCACCCCTGCTTGGACCACCGGCCACGGCTCTGCCTCGCCCCTCGCAGGCCTGCACGCGCCTGGAGAAGCGCCACTTTCCCCCTTGCTCCCTGCCCAGAGCCGAGACCTCGTCTCTTCACCAGAGGGCATCTGAACCCGGCTGCCGGGCGGGAAGGGACAGCCCCGGGAAACTACAGCTCCCAGAGATCCTTGTCGAGGGAAAAAACCTTTGGCTTTGACAGCAGCCGCCACAAGTCTTTCCGCCTCCAAGTCTGGCTTGCAGAGCGGAGAGATTATGGTGGACTGACACCGCTGCCTGCAGACGGACCCCGCCGGAGGGTTTCCCATGCTCCAACTAACCAAAAGAAGAAGGAAAAAGCCATCCTCCTGGCATGCCTGCTGCTCCCGGGGGCCTCCCGCCTCGCCTGCCTGCTTGATGTCTTCTCCCGTCCATACAGCCATCGCTACACCCATGTATTTTTCATGCTGGAAGTCTCGATGCCCCCGAGCCGCTGCTGGTGACCGCGGGGCGGCTATGAAGTAGCCCTCGGGCAGCTGAGTACGACGCGCCGTCCTCCCGGCCCGCATGCATTTCTCTTTGCGAAGGGAAGGGTTTTCTTGAAGGCGAAGCCAGCGACCGCCGCCTCCAGACCCCACTGCGAGGGACGGACTCTCGCCGACATGGCTCGCGTGTTGCCCTGGCTGCTGCTGTGCCTGGGCTCCGGCGTGGTGCGAGCCGGCCGCGCGCAGCTGGGGATCCTCGTGCCGCTGCGCAACGGGCTGGGGCCCCCGGCCCAGGGCCACCGGCTGCAGCGAGCCGCCGAGGGGGAGCAGGAGGACTCCAAGCAAGGGAGCAATTTTGTGGACATGATAGATAACTTGCGGGGCAAGTCCGGGCAGGGCTACTATGTGGAGATGACTGTCGGGAGCCCCCCGCAGAAGGTAAGGCGCTGTCCCGAAACCCCTGGCTGCAGGCGTGGGCTGGGTTTGCTACGCCAGGGCCGAGCCCCGACCTCACCGAGGTCGAGCTGAGAGGGGAGGGTTGGTCAGTGGAGCCTGGCGCGTGTCCAAGGTCCTCCCAGCAATTGCTGGTTGGGACACAGGAGCATTAGTAAGTGATTCACCCGGGTGCTGGAGAACGAAAAAGCAAGCTTTCCTTCAAGGGAGCTGTACAGCCCAGATCCAGAGCCCGCTGCACGCACCTGCTCCAGGTGCTCCTCGCCTGTGTGAGGGAGAAAGGCCTGTGCTGGGGGAAGCTCCGCATGGGTGCAGACACGCGGCACGGTCTCTTCCAGGACTTACACACAGTGCCCTTGGCAATCGCCTCTGGATAGAGGCGCCGTCTTGGCTCTGTTTCTCCTGCTTCGGGGGCAAAGGGGCACTGGTTTCTATGCTGCTGCTGTGTGTTTTGCTGCTGCTGAAATCACCAAAGCAAGTGCAGCACGGATGAGCAAACAGCCTTCCTGAAGGCCCAGCTCCTGCGAGGGCAGGGCCCAGGACTGCACGATCCCTCCTCGTCCCTGCAGCGCTGCAGGGGTGACCCTGCAAAACCCCGGTGCCGAGCTCCCGTCCTTGGCTGACACCGCTGTTCTCAGGTTAACCCACTGTGCAAGCAAGGAACCTGTGTCACCTGCAGACTCGGGGGGGCCCAGGGTTTGCAGCATTTCTTGTTGTTTCAGCAACTTTATTTCAGGTTCCCACAACATGCAAGTGTGCAGGAGAGAGACAGAGAGAGAGACAGAGAGAGAGAGAGAGAGGGCCACAGGGAGACAGGCTCCCCGCTAGAGATGGAGATATGTGGCTTTCAAATGATGGGGTTCATTTTGGTATGTCCCCACTGCAGTGCAAATGCTCAGCAGGGAGGGTCGGAAATGGCAGGGCTCCTCTGACCACACAGCCCGGTGAGAATGGCCAGCTGGGAGCTTTGCCGTGTCTTTCTCGGGTGCTGTAATCATTTCTACTGCATGGAAATGAGATGCAGGTGCCCAGGGAACACGAGCTTTGCCTGGCTGACATGACGGCAGTGAGAAAGCTGACTTGCTAATTAAAACTGGAGGAAGGCTGGTGGGGGTGGGGCGACGAGACCCGTGCATGCGTGTGGGGATGTGGGAGGCTGCATGCTCTGTGCGCGTGCACACAGTCGGAGCCGGATTCGGCGCCCATAGCAGGGATGCTTTGGCTGGGCAGTCTGCTGTAAGACGAGTGGTCCAGAGGGGAGCCAAGGACCCGTTCACCTGTGTGCCTGTTCTGCGAGCCCGCTGCCTGGCCCTGTGTGTGTGCAGCATGCGTGGTGCCCAGCATGGGTGTCATTGCTTGGTGTGTGTGTGTGTGCATGTACACGCTTGCACACACATGCAGTCTGTGTTTCCAGAGGATACCCCAGACAAAGCCGGGGTATCCTCACCTGCAGGCAGCCCCTGGTTGACAGCAAGTGAGGCACTCTTGGTGCCTGCTTCCACTCCAAAAGCTTCTGCTGATGGCGCCAAACTTTCCTGAGCTCCTTGTGCTCCCAGCTCCTGCCAAGTAGCTCACGCTCACATGCAACTTACTGCTCTGCCCGTCCCTGCCTTGCTGGGAGCATCTGAGCTAAACCAGAGGCTGGGAGGTGGCAGCAGGCCCCTCCTGGGTGGGATGCACTGATACGAAACAAGCCTGCTATTGGCCTTGCTTATCCCCAGTCACTTGGGGCAGTGACGCCAGCATGGCAGCTGCCAGCCCCTGGCTGTGCCCTTCCTTCTGGGTGGCTGCAGGGGTGGCTGGGGACGCAGCAGCCACTCACTGGGCTGGCAGTGCTCAGGTCTTTGGGCCTGGCCCTCTCAGCAGATGGTGACCCTGCCCCTGCCCCTGCCCCTCTGCAGGCACTTGATTCCCTCCAGCCCTGGCCCCTCTCATGCAGGGAACTCCGTACTGTCACCTTCCTGCACAGCCCGTTCCCAAGGCATCTTTGTGTGTGGACTGGTGCTGGTGAGAGGAGCCAGGCCACAAGTCCTGGAGACTGGAGGGAAGGGGGTTCGCTGTGTGCCCCCCCAAGCCTGGCCACACTCGGCTGGGGAGAGAGAGGCGCCCACGTGGAAGGCCAGAGCCCTGCAGCCCTCCTGCTCAGCACTGGCAGCCCCAGCCCCACCAGGCCCAGGGGAAAGCTGCCGCTGGAGGGGCCACGGTGATGCAGGGTCCCCTGCCTCAGCCACCTGCTTCCATGCACACTGCACCCCCACCCCTCAGCTTCCCTGGCAGGCACCTCTTTCCAACCCCTGGGGAGGGCTGCTTCCCTGTCCTAGCCCCTCTCCAGAGCCTCCTGCACCCCATCTCCATGTGCCACAAGGAACGCCTCGTCCCTTACCTGGGTGCCTACCTGGTGGACACACAAGAAGCAGGCACACTGCCAGCTCCCCCGGCGCTGGGGTGGCTAGAGCTGGCAGTCCCCCTGGGCACAGCATCTGCTTCCTGTAGAAGAAAAATTCATTGAATGAGAATGAGAGGGAGGAGATCGCGGCCTCAATCTCCCTGACAGATTGCTTTGCTGAGCAGGCCCGAGCATGGCACTGCATGCTGAGGCTGGTAGACTGTGTCCGGGAGAACCACCTGCTTCCACACGCTTGTGGGCAGACTTCTGGGGCACGGGTTTGGGCTGTGGCCCCTGTCCAAAGGCAAGTTGGGTTTTTTGCACTGGAGCAAAAGCCTGTCAGGCAGTTGTAGTAGAATTAACGCCTTTGGACGAACAGCGCGTGCATGTCTGTGAATGCACGCGTGTGTGATTGTCTGTGAAGTATGTGTGTATGTGCGTGTGTGCACAAGCACCAAGAAATCTGAGCCTGCAGAGGGGCAGGGTCTCTGGTCTGAGCCTGTCTCAGGGGTTGGCTCTGCTCAACACACCTGCCAGCGCCTGGCCCATCTCCCTTGCTGTTTAATTTCCCCGAGGGCTCGTTCCAGGCCTGCTGAGCTGCAGCTGTGGCTTGGGGCAGCACCTTACCACTGCCTCACTCTCAGGTGAGCGGTTGTCCCCTTGCATCCATCCCTGCCAGGACATGCACTGGCAGCACCGGGCTGCTCAGGAGCACGGGCTGACCACCAGCAAGTGCCTCTGTGCCCATGGCTGCGATGCACAGAGCTCTGCAGGGAGATCCTCTCCCATCCTGGCCCAGACTGGTTGGCTTGGGGCTGACCTGGGTGTGACAAGCCCATTGCAGAGCAACCCAGAAGGGGCCAACACCAGCACTACGGTGCAGCAGCTGCCCCCACAGTTGTGTCCCAGCCACTCACCCTGAGTGGAAGCAACTTGTCTGCTGGGTGCCCCGAACGTCTGTGGGTTCAGGCTCCATCAGGCCAAGACTTCCTGCATCCAGGGATTTCCCTGGAGAAGAGCCGGCCAGGCTGAGTCTCCAGGATGGGGAGCCCATCTGCAGGACAAGAAACACTGAGTCAGCGGGGTGACAGCTTGCAGGTCCAAGACTCCCTGGCCCTGCAGCTCCTGCTTCATTTCCACCTGCCCTATGCTGCCCTTCTGGCTTGTGGTGTTACTGTATCCCCTTGGCAGGGGGACAGGGACAGCCCATGGTGCAGGGGTGCCAGGAACCAGGCTGGCACAGCAATCAGTCTTGCCCATCCAGAGCGCTCACCCAGGGGGTGACAGGGTCCCATCCAGTCCCAGAGACACTGCAGTTTCCAGGAGGGTGTCCCTGACTTGGGTAAGCTCTCATGCAGGGCAAGGTCTGCAGAACCAAAGCGTGGACCATGCTAGACCCACTGTCTCTCCCGCTGTGTCAGCGCCGGGCTCCAGGGAGGCGCCGGCCACCGCAGGGAGCAGCAGCAATCCACTCCCCAGCGCAGACGGCCTCTAAGTGAAGGCCAAGCAGCAATGTCTGCAGAGACTCTGCAGAGGCCCCCACCCCCTCGGCATGCATCCACTTCCTGACCACGGCTCAGGTCAAGGGCACGGTGCTTTCAGCATCAGCAGGAGCCCAGGACCACAGCCCGTGGAGGGGCAGCTGGAGCCCAGGGGCTGCAGGCTGGGTGCGAGGGAGGGAGGAGCAGGGCACACCGGGCCCTCCAGCAGCTGTCCCCACCTCTGCACTGAATTTCAGTCATTGTCTGTTCCTTTACAGGAACCAGGTGTGTGTGACAGGCGGTCTCTGCTCAGGTTTCACCCGTTGCAGTGCAACGCAGCAGGGCTGTGCGATATCCCTAGCACAGGGGCTGGGCAGGGCTCCTGGGGAAGGCAGATCCCACAGCCCTGTGCAGTTTGCCTGGTAGAGGCAGAGCTGCCAAGGACTCCAAGGCCATGCCAGCTGCCGTCACGCGGCATCCCACAGCCCTTCCGGGAGCAGAGCACAGGCTGGTGCCAGAGGCTGTCGAGGGATATTGATCCGCTTCTGCCAAGAGCATGGGTCAGCGCAGGAAGATGTACAAAGAACAAGCATCCCCACTGCCTGGTGACCCAGGCAGCAGGGCACTGCAGAGCTAAACGAGAGGGGAGGCAGCGCTGCATGGGGACAGCCTGGCCCGGCACGGTGGGGCGGGAACTGCTCCGAGGCAGCTGCATGCAGACCTCATGGCCTGGCACTGGGGTTGTGGCACGCAGACCCAGTGGGCACAACATGCCCATGTCTGGGGATGTGCTGCAGCAAAGGCCGTGGGCACCGGGGGAGCTGTGCAGGGCAGGGAGTGGGCAAGTGGTGTGTGCATATCCATGCGTGCACCCGTACATGCATGTGCCGGTGAGAAGCTGCTGCAGAATGACCCCTTGCTGTCCATGTCCTGGCACCCAGCCCCCCTCCAGGCTGATGTGCCATGTCAGGCCAGGGTCTGAAACCAGCTCTGCCCCTGGAAGCCATGGGACACAAGCTCTTGGATCTGCGCCCGTGCCAGGCAGACGTTACTGATGAGCAAGGGAATCTGCTGAGGACAGGATGGTGCAGCCCCTCTCCCACCTTCGCAGCCAGCGGGGACCGCGTACAGGAGCTTTTCTACCAGGCACAGACAGTCCCTGTGCCAGCTCGGGGACACATTCAGGAGGGCTGTGAGCCTGCCTGCTCCCTGCCAGAGCTCATGCCCGCAGCAGGCCACCCTCAGGGCCAGGATGCTGAGCTGGGAAGGGGCTCGGTTTGCTTGGGAGAGCCAGTTCCAGCTTCTGGAGGTGCCCAGGCCTCTGGCACTGATGCAGCGTGGAGCCCTGGTGCTGCTAGCTCTGCTGCCATGGGTCTGCCCACCCTGACAAGCCCTGTGCATCCCTGCCCTGCTGCATGGCTCCCACAGGGGCCCAGCACCCTCCCGCAGTAGCTGCGAGGCCCCGTAAGGAGGATGCTCGTGCCACGACACCCCACGGCAAGGAAGGCTAAAGCCCTTGCACAAGCCAGCGTGGCTCCAGGCTCACACTTCCTGGTCCCGAGTAACATGGTCTCCCCACTCTCTCTCTCTGTCTCCAGCTGAACATCCTGGTGGACACAGGCAGCAGCAACTTTGCAGTTGGGGCAGCACCTCACCCGTTCCTGCAGAGGTACTACCAGCGGCAGCTGTGAGTACAGCGTGCGCCATGGGGCAACCCGAAAGGGCTGCCAGCACCGGCACTGGCCCCCACCCTGCCAGGCTCTGCACACCCCAGCCAGCGTCCTGCCTCCACTGGTGACAGCCAGGGCAGGCAGGGGGCAAGAAGGGGTGGGGGGAGCCTCTGCCCCGGCTCTCCACCTTGGAGCTGAGAGCCCCTGCAGCAGTCAGCTGTGGGCAAGGAGATGCGTCCCAGCCCCTGGGGACAGCACTGGATGCCCGCGTGCATGTCCAGCAGTGACCCCGGTGCTCCCCAGCCTCTGCAGATCTCCCTTGCTGCGCTCATGGCTGCGTCCATCTAGCAGATGCATGGGCTGCAAGCGAAGGGAGCTGCCTCAGGACCTCAGACGTGTGGGTGCTCTGCTGCTCTGACGCCGGCCCCACAACACGCCTGGCCCCCGACATACTTTGTGTTGGGATGCCCCAGGCAGGCTTCCTCCAGCTTCCCAGAGGGGGCCGTGCCCCCTCCCTCTCCGATACCTGCGGCACTCGCTGCTGGCTGGGTCACAAGGCTGGCACTGCCAAGCTCGGCGACGGCCCCGCTCCAGGCTGGCGCTGTCAGGTGCTGTCCAGCCCCCGTGATGCAGTGTCTGTGCTGGGGGGGGGACTCAATGGCCCCTTTCTGTGCTCCGAGGGGGCTGGGGGGGGCCTGGCTGCTGCCCTGCCACCCTGAACATTGAGACACTGTCTGGCCTGCCGCCTGCCGGGCACAATGAACAATGGCCGGGCTTGTGTGCTGCCCCCTGCCCCCAGCAGGGCCCATGGTGCTCCCAGGGCCTGCCCCAAGCCCTGGGTCCCAGCGGGCCGGGTTCCAGCCTGATGGGCCCTTGGATCTCCGGCAGGGCCTGGCTCCGCACCCTGGGCGCTGCCAGTAGCAGCAAGGTCACCATGCTGGGAGTACAGTTGGGAGCAGGGCACGGGGAGCTCATACTGGAGCCTGGGCACTCTGCCGGAGTGTGGCAGGTCCTGATCCTGTGAGGTAGGGGGTCTGCAGCATGGTGCAGGGAGAGCTGGGATACCCACATAGGACACGTGACATGTGCACATGCATGCCCACAGCTACAGCGGGGAGCACACGCGTCCTGACACTGGGGACGCGACAGCAGGGAGCCCCTGGGTGCCCTCACTCAGGCACACGTGTAGGTCAGCCAGCAGCCTGGGCAGTCAAGCCCTGATCTGCAGAGACCGAGAACTGCACACTCACAGACTCTGCTAGAAGTGGATACGCATGTGCACACACAGGTTCTCTAGCTTGTCTCACACATACACGTGCATGCATGCACAGGCATACATGGGTTTGCTAGCTAGTCTCACACACACACACAGGGGTTTGCTAGCCTGTCCCAGGATGTCCCTTGGTCTCCCTGGCACGTGTGTAGTCAGTCCTGCCTTCCCAGGCCTCCTGCCGCTCCCATGCTTGCCTGCCCTCCTGCTGGACCTGTCTCAGGGATCTTGCTCTTTGGCCCCTGTTCCAGGTCCAGCACCTACCGGGACCTGCGGAAGGGCGTCTACGTGCCGTACACCCAGGGCAAGTGGGAGGGGGAGCTCGGGACCGACCTGGTCACCATCCCCCACGGCCCCAGTGTCACCGTCCGAGCCAACATTGCAGCCATCACCAAGTCGGACAAGTTCTTCATCAACGGCTCCAACTGGGAGGGGATCCTGGGGCTGGCCTACGCTGAGATCGCCCGGGTGAGCCCTGCTGCCTTCCCTCTTGCCTTGGCTCTGCCTGGCAGCCTGCCTTTGCATCTACCCTGGGGCTGCCAGGAGCAGCCTCTTGTCCAGCTTTCAGTGCACTTGGCAGGGGTGCCCGGTGTGGAGCGGGGCTCTGGGGGTAAAGGGGTGGCTGGCAGGGGAGGATACCACCAGACTCCTGTCCCCACAGCACTGGGAGACACCTGAGCAGCTCCCTGCAGCTCAGCATGGGTGCCAGCCCCCACCACAGGGGCCATCCTGGCCTCCTCCCATTCCTACGGGCTCCAGAGCGTGGTCAGACAGTCACGGCTCTGGCTCTCTCCTCCCCAGCCTGATGACAGCTTGGAGCCCTTCTTCGACTCATTGGTGAAGCACACCCGCGTCCCCAACATCTTCTCCCTGCAGCTGTGCGGGGCAGGCTTCTCCCCCAACGAGTCCGAGGCCTTGGCATCAGTTGGCGGCAGCATGGTGAGCGTGCAGGCTCTGGGCTGCCCGCTGAGAGGACGGAGCAGGCCCCCAGGGCAGGCAGCAATAGAGGGGTGGGGGATGCGTTGGGCCCTGGGCAGCCCTGAGGGGTTGTGGGAATGGACCCACTGCGGGAGGCCAGGACTGGAGCTTCCCATGGACCTGCGTCCGTGTCTTTGAGGCTCTCACACCCAGCTAGCATCACTCCTCCGCGTGGTCTCTGGGAACGTCTAGCCTAGGCAGCGAGGGGTGGAGTGGGAACAGGACAAGCTGGGAGTGGGCAAGCGATGGAGGGGCAAGCGATGCTTCTGACATCTGGTCAGCAGGGCCCCACCTCCCCCCAGTCTGCCCCGCAATGAAGCAGTCGGTGGCAGAAATGAACTCCACGCGCACCCAGATGCGCAGCGAGCTGGTGCAGCCTCCCCAGAGGGCACGTTTGTATGGTGCAAGGCAACACCCCGATGCCCTGCGCTCCACCTGCCCAAGCTGGCCGGGGAGCACACCTCACGCCTCTCCTTGCTGCAGATCATCGGCGGCATCGACCATTCCCTCTATGTCGGCAGCATCTGGTACACCCCCATCAGGAAGGAGTGGTACTACGAGGTCATCATTGTCAAGGTCGAGATCAACGGGCAGGACCTGAAGATGGACTGCAAAGAGGTGAGAAGGGCGGGAGCGCTCAGGCTGCTCTCTGAGCCACGGGACAGGCTGCTGTCCCACAGACGGGGCCTTGGTCTCAGCTCCCGGAGCACTGCACTTGGGCCGGATTCCAGTGCGGTTTGCTGCATCGTGACCATGTAACCCAGCGATTGAGGACAAACAGACAGTGATGCAACCTGCCTCTCCACTTTCACCAGTAAAACATTAACTAGTGCTGAGCCAAGGCTGGACCCCAAGCCCTGCTAGAAGCAACCCACTGACATCTTTGTGAGCCACTCCTCCCCCCCAACCCAGCTGGCCTGGCCTCCAGCTATTGTATCCCCTGGAAATGCCATGTAGTGCAGGTTTGCACGTCAGGGGATGCCGTGCTCCTTGCCCTGGAGAGCGCCCAGGTCGCTGTATCAGCACAGCCAGGCTGTGATCTTGCTGAAAAAGACAAGCCCCACCTTCCGTGACCTGCCACATTCGGCAAGCCCCACTTTCCGTGACCCTGCACGGCCTGGCTTTAATTACACTGCAGACTCCTGTCCTTCTGCGAGCCCAGCTGAACGGGTCCGTTACCCTGCTCACAGACGACATCTCTAGCTCCCCAAGTCAGCTCTTTTGCCGCTCGTATCACCTCATTTGGCCTTTACCCCCTGCAACTCTCCAGGTTTCCCAACTCTGTGAAATGTTAGTATTAGCAACGTGGAGCTCTGCAGCGACTCCACGGGGCAGTTTTCCAGCCTGCTGATCTGCAGGCATTTAAATGTAGCACGTGTGCCTCCCATCTGCCCTTGATACCGAGGCAGGCTTCCAATTCCAGCCGCCACAGCGCACGGGCTGCTTCGCCTTCCCGCTTCATTGCAAACACGAGCAGAGGTAGCTCCATGCTGCTGCCTGTCCCTGTACCGTTTGCCTCTGGGGACGGATGGGAAAGGGGCTGTCCCTAATACGCATTATAAGCCATATTGCCCA